CTCACTCTCAGATCTTTTCAACAAATGGACGGTGCTAAATATCATCACCAACCGAAGAGCAGAAGTCAGCATTTTGACAACACAAATAGTCAGATTTTATATACATGCACACATAAAACAGTAACTCTCTCTGCTTCCAAGGCATCAAAAATTATTTAGAGCGACCTTAATTATCTGATCCCAGACAAGCACTTGACACCACACAGAAAGCATCCATTACATCCATGGTGACGAACTGTTTGGTCGGCAATGGCAGTGTACAGGCTATGACATAAACTCCTTTAACAGAACCAGATACACAAACATGGCTTAGTGAATGACTGACTGAGTTTGGTTTTACGCCGCTTTTAGCAATATTCCAGCAACATCACGGCGTGGGGACACCAGAAATGGGCTTCTGCACGGGCTTTTAATGAAAGAAGCTGGACAATGATACACAATGGAAGTCTATCCTTGCAAAGTGGCAAACACTGGAAATGAATCACACAACATCTCTTTAGAGAAAATAAGTGATTAAGTCAACAGTCAACACCATACCGGTAAGTTAAAAGCAATGCTAGCTGAGACAAAGGAAATGCCTTCGTCCATTTCTTTAGTTTGGATCTTGCATTTAGCCCTTTCCAAGCATTACAACATTAACGCGACTGAAAACAAATATCTCGGCCCAACTTGGGTGGCCTGACAAAAATTCCTTCTACAAGGAATCATATTGTGGATCATATTACACATGAGGATGTTTCCCCCCAGCTAAGCTGATCCGGAGATCCTGTACATCTGGATGTTCTTGATAGCACATCCTGTATGTCAGGCATGTTGACGCTTGATTCCCACAGTTCCAGAGTACAGGATATGAGTAAATCCCGCTTGTGCGCTTGATGATAGTCTCGTGTAATAAGAGTGATGCATGGTGGAGGTTACCTCTCATGACATGTCAATATATATCTGCGAACAACTGTCATCTGATAACAAAGCAGAAGATTTCTGACATCACTAATGTCATTCCTTCACCAACAGTGTCATCTTTACTTATTCTCATTATCAAGCTCATCAGATGCTGTTTGATCTCTGTTGTAAATCATATGACAGACATGACACTTAGGAGAAGGGGAGGTAACTCCCATCAAGTTGAGTGATGTTTCAAATGTCCCTGCTCCAGTCAACTTTCACTTGTGTCCCTCAATTATGTCCAGATTATTCCAACTGTACACACCTACATGTAAATTGAAAGGATGGTAGAAATGCTACAAGCACCACTGTGGATTTCATTAACTTCTTCAGCTGTTTGCACAAAGCTCCCTTTGCTATATCCTCTTTCCATGATAATATCAACCAAAGTGACTGGAGAGCTGTAATACCACTAAATCATAATACATCCAATGTATCATGGCAGATGCTGTTGGACCAGGAGCACTAGTGGTCAATGGAGTGAGCATCTATCAGGCAGACACTGGTTCCTCCACGTTGATGTGGGAGATGAAACGGAGGCGGAGTTGAAGAGCAGGGTCGGAAGATTGCGTATCACCTTCTCCATCGCCATGTTTCACACCATCTCCAATGAACATATACTTGATGTGGTACCTGGTGATAGCTAAGGAACACACAAAAATAGGGCTGTGAGGGTTCATTTTTCAGTTAGAAATCAGCATCAATGTCTCTAGATACAAAAATTGCTTATGGAGATTTTGATTTTACAGTTATTGACTTATGAATGTGGACATTGTTCACAAATCACATGTGCCAAGAAACCATCTGTCCCTTTTAAAGCAGAGCCACCAAAATATCCGGAGTGAGTGAGTGAGTTTGTGGGTAGGTGGGCGAAAGTGAGTGAATGAGTGAGTTTGAGGATGCGTGGGTGGGTGAATGGGTGAGTGAATGAGTTTGTGGGTGGGTGCGCGAGTGGGAGGGGTGACAGTGAGTGAAGCTGAGCCAGCTATTTTGACTCAGCTTTCAACAGTATTTCATTTATATCACAGAGTGAAAGATTAATCAGGAGGAAAACCTAATGTGATGCAGGCCTCCAGACATTTTCCTTTGGTGAAACCAATCAGTATGAGTATGGTGCTGACAAACCTCATAAGTACATAGACACAGTGATTCTGGGATTCAAAACACATTCAGATCACTGGGATCCAACTCAGCACAGGATGATGCATTAAATGACAGAACCACAAACCACACAGTGATGATGTGCCTGGTATCTGAGTGGGTGAGTGAGTTTAGTTTTCGCCGCGACTCAGCAATATTACAGCTATATGGCGGTGGTCTGTTAATAATCGAAGTCTGGACCAGACAATCCAGTGATCAACAGCATGAGCATTGATCTTCGCATTGTGGGAACCGATGACATGTGTTAACCAAGTCAGCAAGCCTGCTGACCTTCACCCGATCCGTTGCTTAGCCTCTTCTACGACAAGCATGGGTTACTGAAGATCAATATTCCAACCCGGACCTTCACAGGTCGTCTGGCGTCTGAGATACACACAAAGGAAGGATACAGGAAGTCACAGATGGGGTCCATGAAGTTGAGGTGTTCACATGACTTGTCAACAGTCATCAGGATCTCATACAGCTCCACCGTCAGCTGCAACAATAACAACCACAGATAGCAATGTAGGTGGTAGCAGTATTATAGGCCCACTGCCACAGAGCAATCTTAACACTATGACAATAGTAAGTTCCATACATTGGTAGCAGTATTATAGGCCCACTGCCACACAGCAATCTTAACACTATGACAAATAGTAAGTTCCATACATTGGTAGCAGTATTATAGGCCCACTGCCACAGAGCAATCTTTAACACTGACAATAGTAAGTTCCATACATTGGTAGCAGTATAATAGGCCCACTGCCACAGAGCAATCTTAACACTCCATGACAATAGTAAATCTCCATACATTGGTGAGAGAGAGAGGTTTATTCAAGTAAAGGGGCCACAGGCCCATTATACAAAATGTACAAAAAGTGCAAAGGTCTAACAAGCCATAAAATATTCAATATTAGCACAAGTGCTAATCAGCAGATACAAGAGGCTGTAGGGTACTATACACTCAAGAATGCATTACGCTTCTTTAAAGCTAGATACACAAATTTTCCAAGATTATTAATAAGAAGTATATTCTTCTGGCCATGAACAACTGAGACAGTTTCTGTTGTGACGGGAAATTGTATTAATAATTTGGAATTGTCATTTCCTAAGATTATTATAAAATGGACATTCTAGGCAAAATGAAATTCGGGCTTTCTACAGTAGGAATAATACACAATGGACACAAGCTGCCTTCATTTCAGCTTTAGACCAAGGCTGCCTCTACCATATTCAATCATTAACATATGACTGAGCTTCTAATTCTACTTAAGGCAATAATGGAAATACTTTGCATTGAATTGATTAATGTAGAACTCTAAGCAAACTTTGTTTTTGATATTACTCAGAAAAATCAAGTTTAGAAAAACACAGCATATCACCTTTCCATGATTGGTTATGAACGTCAATACATCTTTGTTTGAACAGAGATAATGAAAGTAGTGACATTCCCAACATTCTGGTAAAACCAGGCATATCCAAAACCATATTGATTTAGAAGTCTTTTTTACACTTTAGTGCCCAACATGGCGCCCCTTTCTCTGCAGTTCGATATTAATATTCATACACTTTCTTTTAAAATAACATTATCAGCTTGAGATACCAGTCTTATCCAATATTTAATAATTTTACAGTAAATATTAACTTTAAGGGAGTGTCTACCAAGCTCGGCATGAGCTTAATATATTCGGGTGCTTCTTGGAAGATTGAGAACTTGTTTACAAAATTTGTCATGGATATTAATAACATTAGGTGCTGTGTGAAATCCCATACTCAGCTGCCATACAGTAAGATTGGGAGAATTTTAACATCAAATATTTTGAACAAAACATGAATGGGGAGATTTGAGAAATTAGGTATTGATGATCTGAGTATACCAAGAACTTTCCATGCTTGTTCTGCGAGGGGTTTTGAGTTATATACCACGAGCCTGAGCTGGATAAATGAACCCCTAAGTACTTTATAGGATGAGACAGTATCAATAACATTATTTTTTAGATAAAATCGTTCGCATTTCTTAAGTCTGCCACCCTTTCTAAACACAATGAATTTTACTCTTTGCTACATTGATTTTTAGTTTCCAACGGTCACAATAACCAACTAATTTGTCTAATCTCTTTTTGGAGACCACCAACAGAAAAGTCAAAGATTACAATGTCGTCAGCAAATAGTAATATAAACAGTTCAATTAGTTCCAGATTCACACCCCTCTGGTTATCTAATGCTAGGCTCTCTACAATATCATTTACGAAAAATGAGAACAAGAAAGGGGATAGTTGGCAACCCTGGCGGACGCCATTTTGGCACTCAAAAAATGCTGTATATCCTTCATTTATAGAGACACATGATCTTACAGATTTGTACATGTTTTCAATAATCTGAATAATTTCCCTTTAACATTTCCCAACCACAGTTTATAGAAGAGACTGTTCCTGTCAACCAGAATCAAACGCAGCTTTCAAGTCAATAAAAGCACAGTATAATCTTCCTTTATACAGAGAGAGGTATCTTTGAACGATCGAATTCAATATAAATATATTATCATGGGTTTTGGAATCCATGTCTAAAGCCTGCCTGTTCTGGGGCAAGGAAACTTTCCCGCTCAGCCCAGAGAGTTAGTCTAGTACTTATAATTTTTGAAAATATTTTGCCAGATACTTCAAGTAAGGTTATAGGCCGGTAGTTGGCTGGATCAGTGACATTACCCTTCTTGAAAATAGGAATAATTACTCCTACTGTCCACTCAGTCGGATAGATACCCGTAGATAGGACACCGTTAAATAAAGATTTCAACATGTCTATGCATTCTCTTGGGGCGCTTTTGAAGAATTCAATAGCAATACCTTATACCTGGGGATTTGCCACATTGCATACTGTTTATGGCATCTACAATTTCCTGATAACTTATTTCGTTATCTAGATCATCATAATTTGCAGATTGTTCAATAAATTCTTCACTGATAGACAAAACAAATTGATTCACCTCATTATAGAATTCCTCATACTCCACTGAGAAATGCAGACCTTGGAAGAGATCATGAAAGTGTAAGTTCCAATCTATAGGTTTTATCTTATTTTTTGTAAATTGTGATTTAGGTTTGACAGTTTTCCAAAACAATTTATTATCTTTTAGTACATAGTGCACTGCATAGTTTATCAGTAAAGTCTGCCAAAGATGCTGACTGCTTAGATGCACATAGCTGTTTATAGGAGGACCACGAATCGATGTACCGTTGTCGGTCACAAGAACCGTTACTGGCATGGAAGGCACAGGTAAGCGTCGAGCTACATTTCGTGCTGCAAGGCATTCATCATCGTACCAGTTGTCTCCCTTGTGTATATGTGATCCGACCAGTTGGCGTTGCTTACAGTGTTCGGCGCATGACTCGACAGTGGCATGAAACAAAGAGGAAGCACTGTTGATATCATTGTTTTCAATATGGCTATTAAAAATTTCCATAACATTTGGCTCTAATGATTGCCAATTAGTAGCGAATTCAGACAGGGATTCTCCCTTTAAAGAGAATTTGATCTTTGGTGTTAGATTGTACAACTTAGTGGTAGTGTTTACACCCATATCAAACAGCAATGAGAATGTCACTGGTAAATGAGTCAATTCTACTTCTTCAGAATTGAACAATGAAAAGGCATTATCAGAGCATAAAAAGTTTTCCTTCTTTGCAAATTTTGCAATCAAACGCTTATCCTTCCAATAGTAAAATGTCTTGTTGGGGAAATAGTTTTGTGCCGCCGTATTAAAACAGAACATCTGCAAACAAAAGCGAAAACAAAACTTTTCACATCAACAAGAAGTCTCTGATAACAGTGGAGTCTAATAATTGTAAAATTCCGACTAGACACTCAGAGCAAATAGTGATGTTTCATAAAAGAAAATAGTAAATGGAACATCTTGTATGGATCATGTCACTTCCAGTAATAGGAAATGCTTCCTTCATTAAAGATCACATATACTCTAGGGAGGTACAAATGCATAAATCATTTAATGGCATCGTTATAAATGAAACCCCGTCATTAAAACTACTCATTTCGACCCTTAATTAACTTAAATCGACCTTTTTGACAACACTGCAAAATTCTCTCCCGCAAACGAAATTTCAACCAATCAGAGGGGCGCGTCTCCGTGACGTAATGTGAGGTATTGATATGAGGGGCACTGTAGCATTCATGTACATTTCTGGGGGTAAATTATTTTGTTTACAGGTTTGTCTAAACCTGAAATTGGACAATTGTTGTGAAAAATGAAAGTAATGTGTTCTCACAATCTACTGTCATTTAATTTTGTCACCTGCTTTGCCTAGCTTGGAGTAGCTTCAGAGTTACAACTTGTTTTCATAGACTATTCTCGTCAAAATCGCTTTTTGTCATAATGCTAACCTGTGGGCTAGGTCTGCCTTTTGTTCCCCAATTTACTTAGGTGTTAAACCATTTATG